TGAGATACAACCGATTGAGATGCATTTGCATTGATACAAATGCTCAATCTTTTTCCAAAGCCCTGTAACCGGTTATATTCCATACACATTTACGAGTAATCTTTGCAAGACACAAACAAATTTCACTTGCCGTTTTTAGAATCCAAATCATGCCATTCTTCATCATCTACTTTGTTGGTCACGCTCGACTCCTTGCTAAAAACAAGTATTGCTCCCCCCCCCCCCCCCCCCCCCCCCCCCCCCCCACATCAATGCCTTTGTGTAACCCAAATTGTATCAACACATCATTGACTTGAACTTGCCACAAACTAAAGTTGATCCTTTGATCATATTTCTCTACATAGAACTTCATGGGATTGAATTTTAAATCATATTCATGTCTCAAAACAATATTATATACTAGAAAAATATGCACCGAACCTATAAACTAATACAACAATAAAGGATTCCCAAGAAAGAAAGAGGTAGGTCACAACGGACACACTTAAATACAAAATCTTTCCTACCCATAACCCTGGACATGTATATACTCGTTGCTCACATATAATTCTATCATACAAAAAATGCAACTAAATCCTCATTTTTAATATGGAAGCTTAGATCTAGTTACAACCATAGGGCATATTACGAACCTTCAAAGTATTGAGACACCTTGCAATATGACCAATAAAAATTTCTTTTATGATGTGGAAGATCCGACAAAATCTATAACCATAAAGCATATTATAAACCTCTAAAACCGTGACCTCTCCTAAAACCAATACCTTTGATACCACTTGTTTGGAAAATGGCATCAAGGATCCCTAACAACCATCCAAAGCCAATAATTGAGAATATAACTAAACACAAAAATATATGTGGAAAACTCCAAAATCAAAGAATAAACACAGTCTTAAAAAAAGATTTAATATATGATAAATTGTTACAATCACAGAAACTAATATCTCAAGCTTCTCCCAAATTACCCCACTCTCTAAAGTTTTCGCTAACAATTTTCTACACTCTAATACATGAGAAAGAAAAGATAAAATCAAACACTTCAAGTATATTGATTGGAGTTTTTTTTGGACCAAAAGCTTTAGACTCTTTTTATAAGCTTGGAGTCCACCCAAACTTTCATCTTTATATGAATGCGAGATGGAGAACCTTTCTTTCATATAGACAAACTCAACAAAGAATACGAATACATAGAATCACTAATTAACTATAAGTTTGAAGATGAGAAAAGAGAGCATATGCCTCTTTTAGATAAAACAAAAACAAACAAACACGGAAGCAATCGAATACAAGTAATTTGCGGTTTTTAAGGAGATTTCAGAGTTATCAAAAAGTGTGCAAGGGTTGAATGGTTAAAATCTTTGAAGAAGATGAGAGCATCAAGATCTTGTTATGGTCATCACCCTTCTGTTTTCCATCATCATCGTTTTCCAAAGTACATCCAAGCTTTAGTTGTTAAACTTCTTTAAAAAAAATTCGAGTTGCCCTGTTGGAACAAATGTGAAACTTGTTTACTATTTTACGTCACAGCTTGCATTTGGGTAAAAGTTCGGCACTGGGTTTCCATGAGACTCCCAAAGCAATTACCAGCTAGAAAAAGTGGTTTAGTCTCAAATAGATACAAACACAAGTTACTATTTTTTTTTTTTATCAAAACTGTACATATTTGATACGGATTTTCATTTGTACTTCGAAACAAAATGTTAAGCACAATGGTTTGTCTATAACTTTATAAAATTGTCAAACACTTGATTCCATGTCACGATCATGTACATGCACTTCAACATCTCTTTGTAAGATGCACCTCCATAACTGCATCTTAACCTTCACATGAAAATTTCCCCGAACAATACAACTAACCATGGACACAGAAAGGGCTAATGCCATTGACACACTACTGATAAGAAAGAGACCCCGAAACCCATAAAGATTCAAGATTTTTGGCGAAGGGGAAGAAAAATCCTTTGACATCATTGCAGATTCACGTTTCAACCATTTATCCTCTAATGCTTTCAATGTCCCATCTTCCCGCATCTTTGCTATCTGAGTTGACATCTCTCCAGCCATGGGTGAACCTTTCTGGAACACCTGCAAACATAGCTAATACCTACATCACACACATGGACACATAATTGACGTATAGAATTGTATATACACCACTTACAAAGCCGAAGCCATTAGTGGTGGATGCTGTTGCGATTAAAGAGAAGTGAGAACCCGGATACATAGCAAGGATTGTTTTGACATAAAGAATCTCATCGATGATTGCATCAACATTTCCATTTATTAATGCTTTAGAGTAGGCCTCATGTGTATACAGTTCCTCAATTTTGAAGTTGAGGTTTTTAAAGACAGCTCCTCTTAAGGGCGAAGCACCTTGGAGTCCGACCTCTATCTCCTTCATTCCAATCTGTTGTATTGTTAAAAGTGAACTCAATGTTGCAGTGTAACTTGACGTGAGCACAAGCACTACAAAAACCCAAACAGTGACCACAAATCTTGATAGATTACTTTGCAGCTTCTCCCCTGAATCACCAAATTTTTGTGGGTGTTTCTTAGAAAGTTGAAGATTGATATCAATGTTCATAAGATCAAATCTTTAAGAGTTAGAGAGCTTACTGTGAGCATAAACAAGCGTCGAAAAAGCAAAACAGACAGTTGTTCCGATTTGCTGACATGCAGAACCTTGAAATTCGTCATTTGTACGATGTTCAATAAACCAAATGACAAACCCTAAAAAGAGAAAGAAACAAGCACTTGTGATCCAAAGATCTGCACTAAGAGGATCTAGAAAGATCCAAATGCTTTTCTTGGCGTCTCGGACTATTGTTCCAGTTCCTAGATCAGTGAAGGGTAATGTGAAGTCAACATAAATAGATCTATTTGCTGTGATCGTTATATCCCCAATAGCAGCATCATATTCCTTAAGAGAGACTTTGTCGATTAGATCATTGTAACTACGCCCATCCTTATAAGGGTATGGAATAATCTCAATCCCTACTCCATAGTCTAAGGCATTAAACGCAGCATTGAAAACATCCCAGCAGAATCCACTCACACCCGATTCATTTGTTTTTGGATCGATAGTGAGTTGTACTAAATTCGGGAATGTGCTGAAATCTGGAACCAGAATTCTCAGCTTCTTGCCATTCGATTTTAGCTTCAAACTTTTTAAAAAGGTTGAAGTCGCATGTGCTGTTAAAAGGGTTTGAAAGATAAGCAACATCAATATCAGGAATGGAAAGAACCTGCAATCCGCCATTGGCAACACAAAATTTAAGTTTCCTGCAGCTCTTGGAACATGGTACTGAACAGTACTAATAATTTTACACAGTGATTAATAATATATGATCTCCTGAGAGCTCATTGATTAACATTTGATTTTCAGTTCTGGCTGCCAAGAAATAGTTGACACTGACTACCGAATTCAGAAAAAATATCTGGTCAGCGTTTCTTTTTTCTAAACCATTTAAGCCACCTTATTTGGTCAAAACTATCATCAATGCAAACCTGCCAGATAGATGGGACAGATGGATGTGGTAGCGGATACAAATTAGAAAGAACAGTTAACATTATGATTAAGAAAGGGTTTTAATTATATTACTATTATTTATGATATGATAAGCAATTTCATGCTCCTAAACATTCCCAATCACGGACAAGTTCACCTTTCTGGAGTCCATAGCGGACCTTAGTAGAGCATTGGGGTCCCGGGCCACTGCTCAATCTCCAGCACGTAGTGTAATTTTTTTTTTTTTTTTTTTTTTTTTGTTTTTTTTCTTTTTTCTGTTAGGTGCACCGGCTTGAAGTACGAGGGACACCCCTACTAAAACAGTATGCATCTGTTATTCTCGAACAATTATTGTGCGTCTTTGAACAGCCAAGAACAAAAGAAAGACGACGGCTGTGGAACAAAGTCATTTCAAAAAAATTAATTATGATAGTAAATGTAAAAATATTTTGTGAATTTTTGGAACCGGAAACCGGTGGAACCGAAACTGGATAGAACGGATCGGGCCGGAACCGCATGTTGCTATTTCTCGAGGACCGGTTCCAACATTGAAAACACGACAAGAACGGGTAGGAACTGAGACCGGTAGAACCGACGGTCCGGTTCGGTTCTTAATTTCGGCCGACTTCGGTTCCCAGGCCAGGTCTGATTAACTAATTAATACTCTAATATATATATATATATATATAATATAATATAATATAAACGCCACTACAAGAAAAATACCCTTTAATGAAACGCGAACAATGACACACATTGATTTACGATACACATTTTTTGTGTGTCCTAAAAATATTGTCGGCCTTCCAAATTTTGAAGGATAGAGGACACGCATTTGTGTGTGGCCTAAAATTATTGTCCCACAAAAAAAATTACAAACACGGAGGGCGCTTATTTTAAATGTGCGTCCTCTGTGAATGTCGTTTTATAAGTTTTTTACTCAGAACGCGTGTTCTTAAAGGAAATGAAATCCTTTAAAATTCTAATTTTGAAATACCCCGCTTCAAGATATCCCTTCACTCTCTTCTTCCCTTCTCTCTACAAACCCTAATCACCATACCATTTCTGTTTCAAGGCGTGTACATGACCTTATATTTCTCCACCGCCTTCAATATGTTCTTGAAATCAAATCTCTCCATGAGAACCAACCTCTCGCTAACCGATGTCACACTGATCAACATAAAGAATCTGAACACGTGAAATTGAATGGACGATTCTAGGGCTTTTTTCAAGAACACACACTTATCGCTATCTCTATCTCTATTTCTCTCTCTCTCTCTCTCTCACACACACACACACACAAAATTGAAGGGACGGTTCTAGGGATTTCTTCAAGGGCCATTTAAAACGTAAAGGGGTGCTCTCTACAATAGTTTGGCGACGTCGGCTCACCTCACCTCATTGGCGACTGTGACTCCTCAAAGATTTAGAGTTGTGCTCGGTGATTTAGCAACTAACAGAGGTCTAAGGTTATGTGTTTGTGTGTGGTACTTAATGACTCAGATTAGGAAGCTTGATAACACTGAGTTTAGAAACCCTTGGCAAAGACGTACATTTGGGTAAGTTTTTTTTCTATTTTTGTTATTTCTTCATTAAGATTTGCTTTGCTATGCAAAAATTAACACCGTTAGGATCATGAGGCTTTACTTTGTAAGAAACTTTTCTTTGTCTGTCGCTATCTGCTAGTCCGCTTGTGTTGAATTATTACACAAATGGATTGAAGATATATGTCTCAATCTATTTGTTTAAAAAATAATTTCCTGTTGGTTTGATAAAATTGCTTTTCCAAAAAGCGTTTCTTTCTCTTTATGAGAATTGAATTTTGGGAATACAATAATACCAAACATGTATGGTTCATAGTCACATAGTTCGCGGTACAGTCCGGTACGGGAACGAGGATCGGGAACGAGATTCGGCAGTTAGGACGTATCGGATACGGCGGGGGTAGGTTCATTTCGGTACGTCCCGGTACGTTCCGATACGGTGTATCGTGTATTTCAGTACGGTGTACCCATGGTTAATACAAAAGTTCCAGCCATATTTTACTTCAAAACACATTAACAGGAAAACAAAAAACATAATTTTAATATTTCCCAGCAAAATTACTTTAAAAAACAGTTAAGTAATAAACTAACACTTCAATACATCAAAACAGTTTTCCAGCAACACATCAAAACAGTTTTCCAGCAACACATCAAAACAGATTCCAAGTTTCCAACACTAAAAAACAAAAAACAGAATTCCCAAAAAAACAATTTAACAGAAAAGTTTTCTTCAATCCACGCGTTGTCTTTTTCCTTGCCCATTCTCCATGTCTTCATCTAAATTCTCCCAAAGCATTTCTTCTAATCGTGAACTTAAGCCTTCAATGTAAGTGTTTTCGGGATTCATGTCCCACTTTTTGTATGGCCCGCTCTATATGAATCCGAGAAACGAGATAGGAGTCGAATATTGGAGTGAATGAAAACCAATTTGTCGGCTCTTTTGCAATTTAACCTATTTCTTTTCACATTGTGAATGTAAGAATAGGTACTCCAATTTCTTTCCGTCGAAGAGCTACTAATCGGTTGGGAAAGTACCTTCTTTGCTATCACGGCTAATTCCGGGGTTTCGGCCCCATATGTTGACCACCAATCCATTGCATCCATTGTCACGACATCCGTTTGTGTTGCCGCCATGGAATAGATTCCTTTTTTCATATGGAATGTTGTGAATTGTTCTCGTAACACTCGTTCCTCCTCTTCATTTTCGGACATTCTATGGAATGCTTTCATGACACCAATCACAACCTCTTTATCTAGATTTGGAGCTTTCCTTAGAATACCCCCCGGTGCTAACTTTTGAAGATATTGTCTATCATAAAATCTTGGAGTTAATGCAAACCCCAAACAATGTAATTGGATTGTCATTTTCTTCCATCTAGCTAACACTATCCTCTCAACTTCCGGGTAATAGCTTGAATACGTATTTTCTTGCATAATGTCTTTAATCTCCCCCAACATGTTATCCATTTTTTCATAAATCTCACCCATTTTAGGACCTTCCCCATCACAAAACTTGATGAGTAGGAAAATGGGTTTTGTAATTGCTAAAACATTGTCTACATCTTCCCAAAACAAATCATCTTTGATTGTATCCGGAACTTTTAAACCAAGAACTTTTGTGTTTTCATCTCCATTTTTAAGCCACTCCCTCCAAGAATTAAGGACTATAGTTGTGGAAAGAGCCTCTCTACAATCCTTGATTCTTTTTAACAAAATCTAGTGAGATGCAAACCTTGTTTTAGCCACCCTTAACAACTCTAATGTGGAATTTTCTCGAAAAATTGACAAGACTTGAGTGTGGTTTAGAAAGTACTTGACAATTGTTTTTCCTCTCTTATAGGTATTATTTAACCAAAAAAATTCATTTGATAAATCTTTGAAAATCAAATTTAGAGTATGTACGCAACAAGGTGACCAAAATACATGTTTGTATACCTTCTCGACTTCTCTTCTGGCAGCTTTGCAATTAGCCGCGTTATCCGTGACCACTTGCAAAACGTTGCTCGATCCAACCTCATCGATAGCTCCAAGAAGATACTTAGAGATTTCCACTCCTGTTTTTTCGACCCCCGAGAAATCTTCCGCTTACATAAACATAGCACCACGGGCATTCACCGCAAGAACATTGATGAGTGGCTTATGTTTGACATTAGACCACCCATCGGAAACAATAGAAACTCCTTGCGTGTACCAAGTATCTTTGACTTGGGTTAGGTCTTTCTCAACATCTCTAATGCACTCATCTAACAATACGGTTCTTGCTTTTTCAGTAGACGGAGGTTTGTATCCCTCCGGTGCCTTCTTGAGTGCATTGAGCATTTCAATAAAGTGTGGATTCCGCAAGACGTTAAACGGGATACCATTAGCACACAATCCTCTAACTATTTTCATGTCAACCACATTCCGCTCCATAAGACCAAAAGATTCCTCAATTCCTTTTCTTGATGTTGCTTTTTTCGAAAGTATAGAATTCTTTAAAGATTTTGAAACACCTCCGCTCTTGGCTTCTTTAACCTTGCTCAAAAGTCTTTGTAGCTTCTCCCGGTCCTTAATCATAACCGGACATCTTCTTATTTCTGCTGTTTTCCCAGGTTGAGCCCCAAAGAAATGTGTGTGAATTCTGGTATAGGAGCTTGTGTACTGGACTTTGCAGTGGTTGCAAATCCATATCTTTGCCCCCCTGCATTTTTACCGGTTCCGGAACCAGTAAAAGTGACTTCTTCCAATAGAGGCCTGCTAGCATCCTTATCATGCGTTTTCTTGCTTCCTGATGTACCTATATCTGATGCTCTTTGGTCCTCATTCTCAAGATCAAGAAAAGCTTCAGGTGGTGGTTGTGTTTCACTATCTTCTGTGCGGTTAAAAGATTTGCCAAATACCATTTTCACACCAAGCAAATCAATAAAGAAAGAGTATATTGGAAAGGTTCTGTGATGAAGAAGCGTAACAGAAAAAGAACAGAGCAATAGAGAGAGTAATGTGGGTGAACTGGTGAGTAGTGATGTGGGATAAGAGGCATCTTAAATAATTATTGGAATCGAGATTCACCGGAAGAATCGGATGTAGGAATCGAAGAAATATACCAGGAATCGATGAAATCGATAACTTTATCGTAGCGTCAAACGTTTTTTCACAGATAAGCAAGTTCCCGCTCAAACCAAAATCGGCGACCCCAAGTCCAAAATTGGCGATCCTAATCATGTTTCT